ATCAATTTCCCGTTTGTAGTGCAAAATGACAGAAAAACGGCAAACTATATGTCTATATTATCCGCATTTTACAACATTTCGCAACGAAACTTCGGAATATTACTAATTTTATGTTTGCGATGTTACTCTGAGTGCATATCCACACCGGGCGAGCTTGAAAAATATGCCCGGCCACGGTGGGATTCGAACCTACGTCCTTTGGAATACTAGCCCAATGCTCAGAGTAACATCGCAAACATATTATTCACCTGAGTACACAACACCAGCACAGAAAAATTCATATTACCAGAACACATTGGTATTGAAGGAACTAGATACTGTTCTGAAATATCACTTACTCGAACCGTCCTGACCGCGTAGCTCAGTCGGAAGAGCATTGGGCTAGTACTAGATTCCAAAGGTCGTAGGTTCGAATCCCACCGTGGCCGGGCATATTTTTCAAGCTCGCCCGGTGTGGATATGCACTCAGAGTAACATCGCAAACATATTATTCACCTGAGTACACAACACCAGCACAGAAAAATTACTAATTTTGTGATGCTCTTTCAAGCTGTGATGAAATTTTTGTCCAGACTTGTTTAGATCAAAATTTCACTTAAAAGGGGAAAGGTCTATTGGTTGTACGTAATACACTAGGGCTCAAAATAACGGCCGGTCAACGGACAATGACCGGCCAAAAATGCCTCTTGACCGGTCACTTTTTTGCCTCGCCGGTCATTTGACCTCGATTTTGACCGGCCACATTTTCATACCTTCCAATGTGATTGCTGACGTCTTGAATGAAAACATGAAACTATGATGTATCGAAACAAGTTTCTAATAGTTTGTTTCACTGTTACTGTAAGCGTATCAATGACCGGTCAAAAACATATTTTGACCGAGCTAAAATCAAGTTGACCAATCATTTTGACCGGAGACCTTGGCTTCCGTTATTTTGAATCCTGCGTAATTTAAGCACTATTTTCAAGCTTTATTATACGTATTCCGGCCAGGGGAGACTCTTAGGTTATTTTATGTGCAGTTCTCTCCAACGTACATATCCTGTTGGAGACAGCTGTTCTGTGAGCTTGTTATATGTTTATATTTTCCCCAGTCCTTATTGGCTGCACCCTCTTTCTAGCCCTTACTTGGTTATTTTGTGCAGCCAGTACTCTAACTCATAAATATATCTAAATAACATATGTATTATCGTATGTAAATAACTAATTTTCTTTTCTTGTGAGTACGAGTACGAATAAAGGTTTCTTCTTCTTAACTAAAAAATATTAGCTAAGTTGTGTACACATGGCAAGTTGCATACTCCAAGTCAGTTCTACACTAATTTGAAAGACGAGATCGTTACTCAACATGTGTCCTTCAACATGCAACATTTTACTTTCAAAGTAAATCCTATATGATCATCATCTCATTCAAAATCCAAAGCTGAACATGTGAAATTGACAAGTTTTCCATAACCTTTAGGGCTTGTACCAAGGGCACATTCGGGGAAGGGGTTATATTGCAAAGAATACAGATGAATACAGATGTTTTCTATATATATCCTCCGTATAATTAACCGGCCCCGTCCAAATTGCTTACGCCGACTTACGAATACGAACAGCAACAAAAATATATATAATCGAAGGTCTCAATGAGACGACTCACGGATATATGCCAAGCGCTATCAAATTACAATAGCGAGCTTAAGATCTACGACGCGAACTTACGACGCGGACGTCGCATTAAACAAGTTTTATTTTAAAACGATGGCAAATACCATTAAAATATTTTTATCACAGTAAATAAAATGAAATTATACTGGAAAAAATGTACAACATAACAGAGGCTAGCAATATATTAAGAAGATATTTTTTATCATAAGTTTTTACGACTTCTATGACGACGAATCTTTGCAAATATCACGTCGTCTCAGATGGTAGTTTTGGCGGGAAAATGTGCATTCGTAACAATAGTCTATAAAGCCTGGTTTCTATCATTTCGTATGGCTGTTAACGTGTCATAACAGTGTCACAAATCTCGCAGAAATAAACTGTGACAACTCTGACTAGGCTTACACTCGAAAACTAGGCTTAGCTAAGCACGTCCGCGTCGTAAGTTCGCGTTGTAGATCTTAAGCTCGCTAATATCAAGGAAGTATAACGGAACTTCCTATTATACTATGGCTAGTATTGGACTACCTTCCAAAATTTTTTAGAACCACTGAGTATTTTAATAAAATACAAAACAACTCCAAAGACCCAGTGCCGCCCAGAGGGGGGGGGGGGCAA